GGCGGAGGATGCGGACTCTTCGGTGTGTTGGGGCTGGGGGAGGGGGTAGAGGGAGTCCACCTGCTGGTCGGGGAACCACCGGACCCCAGGGGCCAGCCCGGGCCCTCCCGTGGGGTCCCGTCTCCCTAAGCCACAGCCTCGGAGTCTGGAATGACGGAGAGAGGGCACGTCCAGCCGGCCACTTTTAGGACGCTTGCTGGGTTACGTGAGATGGGGGCCGGGCATGCTCGGAGTGGGAGAGGGAGGAGCCCGAACCCTGAACCCGGTGCCTCCCTCGGGCCGCCAGCTCTCGCCACCGCCCGGAAGGGTTGGGGTGGTGGCTGGGGACGCAGAAGGGACATTCCAGGAGAGACCAACAACAAAGCCCGTTGCACCACCAGCCTTCCTCCTTTGTCCTGGGTGGTCTTCTCTTCCTCCTCCTCGTTCCTGGGCTTTGGGCATTTAGCCAACTTCACCATTTACCCACAGACCCTGCAGACTCTCGGTCACATGGTGGGGGCCGGGACGGGGGTACGGACTCCCCTTCCCAGCCTCTGCCGGGTCAGTGTCCGGCGTTGTCAGGTGAGCAGGCCCCTGCCCCATCACGGGGTTCCTTTTACCAGCCTAGGGAAGGGTGAAAGGCTGGGAGGTTGGTACCGGGTGGCCTTGTTGAGCGATAAGAAAATTGAAAAAGATCAGGCTGGGCACGGTGGCTCACGCCTATAATTCTAGCACTTTGGGAGGTCGAGGTGAGAGGTTTGCCTGAGCCCACAAGTTCGAGACCCGCCCGGGCAACCTGGCAAGACCTCATCTCTACAATAAATCAAAAATTAGCCGGGCGTGGTAGTGCACGCCTGTAGTTCCAGCTACTTGGAAGGCTCAGGTGGAAGGATTGCCTGAGCCCAGTAGGTCGGGGCTGCGGTGGCCGTGAGCATGCCACTGCACTCCAACCTGGGCGACGGAGACTCCGACTCAAAAAAAAAAAAGAAAAGAAAAGAATCAGATCCTGGAGCAGCTAGGAATGCAGTCTCCTTTGCCTGGGCCGTGAGCCCAAGTTCTGCAAAGCCCGGCCCACCCCTGACCTGCCCTGGCCACACTCACCTAGCCTGTGTCCCTCTCTCTGGGTCCTGCAAGTGGGTGGGGTAGCAACGTGGAGGAACAGAGTCTTCAGCATTCAGTCACTGGCGGGAGCTGCATTGAAATCACTGCAGACCACCCCCTTGGGTCCCTCTAGCCTTTGAACCCAGAACCTGGAGCAGGGGGAAAGGCTCTGGGAGTGTGGAAGGCGTGGGACAGGACAGGAGTCATCCAGGGAGGGTTGCTGGACCCTCGAGATAGCCCTGTCTCTCCTCTCAACCCCCGCCCTGCCTGCCCTTCCTGGGGCATCACTGCTGCCCCCGGTGGCCATCCTTGCAGAGGCGGTGCGTGGGGGGACGAACCCCGCCCCCAGGCCTGCCTCTGCCACTGAGAGCCCGTTTTCCGCAGGTGAAGGAGGACTGGAAGTACGTGGCCATGGTCGTCGATCGCATTTTCCTCTGGCTGTTCATCATCGTCTGCTTCCTGGGGACCATCGGCCTCTTCCTTCCTCCGTTCCTGGCTGGAATGATCTGACGCCACGTCCCTCGCGTGGGAGCCCGGGTGGCCCCGCTGACCATCTTTTGACCATCTTCAGCTGTGGCTGCCTCTGGGGTGCCCTTTGGGGCCGACGCCATCTGCCGGCCCCTTCCCACGGAACAATCCAACTCGACGTCATTGCACCAAGTGTTGGGCATCCGCTGGGCACAGAACCTTGTTTCGGACGCCGAGGAGCTTGAGCAGCTGAAGGGATTTGCTAGAAAGATGCAGGGGTTTCAGGAGGTTGCCACAGGCAGTGACAGTGTGAGATAGAATAAGATTCTCCCGGAGGGGCAGTGCAGACCCCAAGTGACAGGGGGACGGGGCAGAGGACCAGAGGGATGGGGCCAGGGTGAAGAGAAAGGGAACGCAGACCTCAAAGGAGGGGTGCTTGGGGAAGACGGAGTGGAAGGGCTCTGAAAAAGGTTTTGGATTTGGGAATGAGCCCTGAGTGCCAGGCTTTGGGGTGTCTGTAACCCAGGCTGAGAGTCAAGTGCAGGGTCTGTCGGGGTCTGCAGGGCTCTGAGCTGTGCGGTCCTGAGGAGAGTGGTACGGGCTCTTCGGAAGAGGAGGAGGGGTGGGTGGTTGGATGCAGGTGGCCGGGCCATTCCATCCACCCGGAAGCACCTTCGAGCCCCCAGGCTTCTCCTCAACCGTGGTCCTCCCCCATCCTTGCTGCTAAGTGACTTAGCACCAGCCGCTCCCAGGAGCTTTGGCAGAACTGAGAGCCGCTGCCTGCAGGACACCATCTGTCCTCGCCCGTGCAGGACTGAACTAGAAAGGCTGTCCCGAGCCACTCTTGACTTTGCTCAGACCCATGGCCGGTCGGGCCCTTCCTTCCTCCTCCTCCCTCCCAAACTCCCTCCCTTTCTCCCTTCCTCTCCCGGCCCTGGTTTCCCGTGTCCCGCTCTGTCAGCAGGAATTGGGGAGTTTAAGATCCTTGCTTCTGGCTCCTTTGATTCTGAATTACCCAAGGGCAGGGCCCTTTTATTTTTCCCATTCCCAGCACCTGGCACAGCCAGGACATTTGTTCTGAGTGGTCGAGGGCCTTCCCAGGCTTCCCAGAGCCCCAGGATGTGTCTGACGCCCTCTGAACCCTTTGGTGCAGCCGGCACTTGGCCCTTGGAACGGGATACTCCAGGACCGTCAGCTGTGTGCGGGTGCCCAGACAAACGGAGCTGCTGCTCCAGGGATCTGAGATGGGATTGGGCATCAGGCCTCTCTTGAGTTCTGTCCGGCCTCCAAGGGCGGGACCTCGGCAGCTGACAGATGGGGACACTGGGTTCTCTGCACAGCGCAGAAAGCCAAGCAGGGCGCGCTTCTGATTTCCCTCCGGTCTTGGAGGTGCCCTCGTTTGAAGCCCCTGCACGCCCACCTCTCCTGGACAGACTCAGGGGAAACCTGGCTGCCTGTGACACCCCGGTGCAAGCGCTGCGCATTTCTCTCCCCAAACTCCCAGCTCGTGTCTCATCCGGGTCTGCTGTGCTCCCGCCTGCTTCTGTGCACACGGCCCCCTCCGCCCCTTCCCTCGACCCCCCGAGGCCTCTGGGCTCCCTGGTCCAAATTCCCAGACTCGATCTCCAGGTATGGCGATGTTCTGTCATGTCCTCCACGCCACCTACCCATCTTGCATGTGAATAAAGAGACTAAATAAAGCTGAGTCGGCGGCTCCCTTGACTGTGGGACCCCCTCTGTGTCAGCTACATCCTCAGCACCAGCTAGGCGCCTCCAGAGCCTGGGTGCTTTCGGTGCCAGGCAGCAGAGGGATGCCACAGGGCGTCGCTCACGGGGCTGTGGAGAGGACTGCCTGGGTCCCTCCCGGAAAGTCACCCTGGGGTCGGGAGCCCCCACCGCTCACACAAGGGCAAAGAGGCGAGGTGACACACCTGCCCCACTGCTGGCGTCACCACACGCCTCTCTCTGACCGAAGCCCAGCGCTGGCCGGCCCCCGATTTGCCTCCAAGGTGCAGGTGATCGGTTTCTTCCAGGGCTTGGCTCAAGGTCACCGTTCTCCCCCCAAGGGCAGATCAAACAAACCAAGCAGTCCAACAGACCACAAAGCAAATGGGACGATTTTAATTCAACCACGAGTCAGATAGAAAGAAGGTGAAAGGGGGGGCTGCATAAACACGCGGGAGGGGAAAGGCGCCGGATAGAAAAGGGAGAGGAAAAAGGGGGGAGGAATAAGAAAAGGGGGGCGGGGAGAAGGAAGGGGAAAGAAAGGGAGAAAGAGAGGGCAGGAGGAGGGCGGATCGGCTCCAAGGCCCTGACTTGGCCGCGTCTCCCCGCCTCTTCCCCGCAATGTGGGTGTGTTGAGAACACTGCGTCCTGTGCCCGGACTCCCAATCAGCTTGTTCCTGGACGAGGTCCCAGGTCCCCCCGTTGGAGGGCATATGCTGTCAGTCCAGACCACACTCGCATTAAATAAATTCCAATATACACTGTACAAGGACGCCAGGCCCATGCCTCATCTCATCAGCCGCCCGACCCCCGAATAAAGCCCCTTCCCAGCTTCTCTGTACACCGGGGACCTCCGAGGACTGAAGAGGAAGGGGAAGGGTTAGGTCTGCTCCCCGATCGGCCTGCCGTGTCCATGCTTAAAGCCATGCCGGCCGCCAGGGGCACCACGTGACCTTCTGTGGGCCCCCCCCCCAGCACGGGCCAGGCTGGGGTGGAGAGGGAGTGGCCGGGTGGCGGCCGTGCCCCCTCGGAGCCATCTGTGCCCTCCCCGCCCCATGTCCATAGCCCAGAGTCCCCTCTGTCCAGCTGCAGCCTGAGCAGCACAGCCTGGGGGGGTGGAGGGGGTCGTGCAGACTGGCGTGGGAGGGACTCCCCGGCGGTCTTCCCCGAGAAGACCCACGTGACCAAAGGCAGGGCGGGGAGGTGCGCGACAGGTGGGGGTGGAAGACGCGGGCAGACGGTCCCCCCCTCCGTCACTCTGCAGGCGGGTGGGCCAGGTTGGCCAGGACCTTGGCCTGGTCCACGGCATCGAGCAGGTTCTTGGCGTCCACGGCCAGGGTGTGTGAGGCCGTGAGCATCTGACGCTTGCACTCCTCGCTCAGGGAGGTCACGGCGTTCTGCTGGGCCAGCCGCATCTTGTTGATGAGCTCTGCCAGGTCCTTGTTGAGCAGTTTCTGGGTCCCCTCGATCTGCAGGAAGAGGGCACGGGAGGGGTTAGGGGGCAGTGAGGTCTGCGTCTGCAGGATGCGGAGGCCACAGAGGCGTCCACCTGCGCGTTGGCTGAGGTGGTCGGAAGTCCCCTGGGGGCGCCGGGAGTGGTGGCTCACGCCTGTAATCCCAGCACTTTAGGAGACTGGGATGGGAGGATCGCTTGAGCCCAGGAGTTCAAGACCAGCCTGAGCAATGTAGTGAGACCTTGTCTCTACAAATTAAAAGAAAAAAAAAAAATTAGCCGGGCGTGGTGGCGCACGCCTGTAGTCCCAACTACTCGGGAAGTTGAGGCAGGAGGATTGCCTGAGCCCAAGAGGCCAAGGCTGCCGTGAGCTGGGGTCGTGTCACTGCACTCCAGCCTGGGCAACAAAGTGAGACCCTGTCTCCAAAAAAAGTCAATAAATAAAAATAAGAGAAGTCCCCTGGGGGTGAATCAGACCCAGGATTGGGATGAATCCAATGCTCGGTGCAGACTGGACTGACAGACATCCAAGACCCCAGCCCACCCTGCATCAGTCCATCCTGATCCAGCCAAACAGACCCACCCTTCATAGCAGCATGCCCTCATGCTGGCCCAAGGGGATGTTGAGTGAGTGGTCTGAGTGGGTGGTCAGGGGTCAGGTACATCTGCTCATTAGTCTGCTGGCTATCATCAGGTCAAGAGATCAGGGACCGTGTTTTGTGTCCCTCTATCTCCTCAGTGCCTAGGACACTGTTGAGGACAGGTGTGCTTTGGAGATATTTTGGGTTTGGTTTCGGGACCCCTTGATAAATTGAAGATCATAATCAAGCAAGTCACAGGAATGTTTTTGGTTTCCTAGTACATATAAAAGTTACGTTTACACTGTACTGAGTCTAGAAAGTGTGCAGTAGCACTAAGTCTATGTTAGGTTAATTATATCTAAGTCAAAAATACTATACAGAAAGTCCCCTACATACGAACCTTCAAGTTACAAACTTTGACTTTACCCTGCATTTTTGTATGTATTATTTCTCTCCACCAAGTGTTAGCATAGCCTGTTAAATTCACACAGTACTGTACAGCCAACTGTGCTAGTTGGGTACCTAGACTTTGTTGGACTTGCAACAAATGGACTTACAAATGTGCTTTCCAAACCAAGCTCATTCTTATGACAAGGACTTCCTGTGCTGCTAAAAAATGCTCGTGATCACCTGCGCCTTCAGCAAGTCCTAACCTTTTTGCTGGGGGAGGGCCCTGCCTCGATGCTGATGGCTGCTGACTGACCAGGGTGGTGGTTGCTGGAGAAGCCGTGGCAATTTATTTTTATTTTTAAATTTTGTTATGAGTTGGAGTCTCACTCAGTCGCCCAGACTGGAGTGCAGTGGCCGCCTTGACCTGCTGGGCTCCGGCGATCCTTCTGCATCAGCCTTCCAAGGAGCTGGAACTACAGGCGTGTGCTACCACATCCAGCTGATTTTTTGATTTATTGTAGAGATGAGGTCTTGCCAAGTTGCCCCGGTGGGTCTCGAACCCGCGGGCTCAGGCAATCCACTCACCTCAGCCTCCCAAGCACGGGATTACAGGCTGAGCCACCAAGCCCGGCGGCAATTTCTTAACACAAGGTAACAGTGAAGTTTGCCACATGGACCGACTCTTCTTTTCATGAAAGATTTCTGTGTAGCATGTGATACTGTTTGATAGCATGTTACCTATCAAACCCTGCTGCTGCTTTATCAAGTAAGTTTATGGAATATTCTAAATCCTTTGCTGCCATTTCAATGACGTTCGCAGCATCTTCGCCAGGAGTAGATTCCACCTCGAAAAAAGATTTGCTTTGCTGATCCAGAAGAAGCAACTCCTTGGAGTTCAAGTTTGATCATGAGCAGTGATTCAGTCCCCCTGGGGGGCTCCCCTTCTAATTCTAGTTCTCTTGCTCTTTCTACCACATCTGCAGTTACTTCCTCCTCTGAGGTCTTGGAACCCCTCAAAGTCATCCAAGAGGGTGGGAATCAGCTCCTTCCAAACTCCTGTTCGTGTTGGTAGTTTGACCTCTTTCCATGAACCATGAATGTTCTTAACGGCATCTAGAATGGTGAATCCTTTCCAGAGGGTTTTCAGATTTCTTGCCCAGATCCATCAGAAGAATCACTAAATCTACAGTAGTTATAGTCTCATGAAATGCATTCCTTAAATATTACAACTTGAAAGTCAAAACTACTCCCTGGTCTGTGGGCTGCAGAATGTTTTCGTGTTAGCTGGCATGAAAACAACATTCATTTCTTTGTGCCTCTCCATCAAGAGCTCATGGGTGACCAGGTGAATTGTCAATGCACAGTCATATTTGGAAAGGGCTTTTTAATTTTCCTGAGCAGTAGTTCTCAATAACAGGCTCAAAACATTTCGTAAACTATGTTATAATTAGATGCACTGTCATCCAGGCTTTGTTCCATTTATAAAGCGCAGACAGAGTAGATTTGGCATAATTCTTTTTTTTTTGAGTCTGAGTCTCACTCTGTCAGGCTGGAGTGCAGTGGCACGCTCATGGCCACTGCAGCCTCAACCTGCTGGGCTCAGGCGATCCTTCCGCCTCAGCCTTCCCAGGAGCCGGAACTACAGGCACGCACCACCACGCCTGGCTTACTTTTTGATTTATTGTAGAGACGAGGTCTCACCGATTTGCCATGCAGGTTTCGAACCGCTGGGCTCAGGCAATCCTCTCGCCTCAGCCTCCCAAAGTGTGGGGTGCCAGACTTGAGCCACCGCACCTGGCTATTTAGCATAATTCTTAAGGGCCACCTGGGTGCCCTCCCAACCCTCTGGCGGTCGTGGGTCAGATGGGTTGTGTAGAACCACCTTCTGGGGACTCCTCGGGCAGGCACAACGTGGCCCAGGTGGCCCTCGTGAGCCTCAGGTGAGAAACGCAACTAGGGCGACCTGGAGGTGCAGGAGAAAATGACAGCTTAGGCGCCGTCCTGGGAAGAGGGCGCTCACCTCTGTCCGTGACGACGACGGCAAGGAGGGCAGGAGGTCGTCCACGCTCCCGATGAGCTTCCGCAGGGTCAGCCCCACGTTCTGAGGAGAGAAGGGGATGGGTGACCCCCCTTACTGTGGGGGAAGCCACATTTCCCCGGGGAAGGGCCCTCCTGGGACCGTGCCTGCCTTCTCGGGCTGTCTGGGGTTCCATTCCCCTCGCCCTCCTTGCTCTGATGGGGTCTTCTAGGGCAGCCGACAGGAAGTTCTTCCTTCCCGGGCACAATGAGCAGCCGTACCCTCCCTGACCCAACCCGGCCCGGCCCTGGTACTCACCTTCACCAGCAGCACGTAGCCCTCGGGGGGCAGCTGGCAGAGCTCGTTCTTGAGTTCCAGCACGGCCCGCACCAGGTCCATGACGTTGAGGTACACCAGGTCGTCGGTCCGGTCCAGGTTGGCCGTGGGCTGGATGGACTGAGGGGGGAAGCAGATGGTCGCAGAACAGGGAGGGAAAGTCAGGGGGACATTCTTGTTTTTCTCCTAGGCAGGCACTACCGGGCGACTCAGCCACCAGCCCCACTGGAAAGGACGCTTCTCCAGAATAAACAGTGCCCAGTTCCCGGGGTGCATTCCCCCCTTCTACTTCCAGGGCAGTGGTCTTCCTGAGGTCTGGGGTCTGGGTCAGTGCACCAGACCAATGGAACCATCGCTTGGGCCTGGGGTCCGGGTCGTTTCCAAGCTCTTGAGGTGACTCCAGTGGACAGCCAAGGCTGAGCCCCACTGTTCCAGAGCAAAGCCAGCCAACACCCAGCCCAGACTGCTGGAAGGGCAGGGGCACTGGAGGCCAAGGGGGTCGGGATTTCATCTGCGGAGCCATGAAGCTGTCATAGTCTAGCTGACACAGTCTGTGGGGTGGTGGCATTCTGACTCCAGTTCACTTGAGCTTGGGCAGAGCCCGCACGTACCTGAGCGCCCAGCCGCGGCGGCTTCTGCGGGGGCCCCGTGAACTCCACTGCAAGGAAAGGGGCAGCGAGTGGGAGCCGGTCCCCAGCATCCCAACCCTTCCCGTTGTATCTGCCGATGGGAAGTGAAGTCCCTCTCCTCTACCACCAGGAGACCCCCGGGGAAATTAGCCCTGACTTCCAGGAAGATGGCAGGAACTTTCTGGTATCCTTGGGTTTGCAGCAGACAGGGACAAGCACTGTTGTCTGTATTATAGAAAGGATAAAATTCGAAGTCGCTGCAGAGGCGAGGAGCCTACAGGTGTGTTTCGGACCCGGCTATGCTTCCTCCCTGATGGACATCAGGCCTGAGAAATGGTTCCTGTGGCCTGGACCACCCATGAGGAAGAAACCTCACCCCGGCCGGGGCTTGGTGGCTCAGCCTGTCATCCTAGCACTTTGGGAGGCCGAGGCGAGTGAGTTGCCTGAGCCCGCGGGTTTGAGGCCAGCCCAGGCATCTTGGTGAGACCTCGTCTCTACAATTTAAAAAAAAAGAAAAGAAAAGAAAATAGCCCAGCGTGGTAATGCGCGCGGTAGTTCCAGCTCCTTGGAAGGCTGAGGTGGAAGGATCGCCAGAGCCCAGCAGGTCGACCTTGAGTGTGCCACTGCACTCCAGCCCGGGTGATGGAGTGAGATTCAGACTCAAAAAAAAAGGTGTTTGGTGGTGATGGGGTCTCGCTATGTTGCCCAGGCTGGCTTTGAATTCCTGGGCTCTAATGATCCTCCCGCCTTGGCCTCCCAAAGTACTGGGATGACAGGCACGAGCCACCAGGCTGGGCCTGGACAGATACTTCCCAGAGCTCCGGCAGGCCCTGCGGCCGCCTGCCCTGGGCAGCGAGAAAGGACAGGCTCCACCCAAGACACCAGAGCAGAAGCTCCCTTGAAAGGAAGGGCAGGAACACTTACGGTAGCCAGCCTCCTTCTCTGGGGTCTGGAAGGAAGAGGGGAAAGAGCAGCCGTCACTGTCATGCGGCTCTGGGGACAGTCCGCTTCCCCTTTTGCCGATTTCCCCATGCTCCCTCCTCTGGGTGGGGGTGGTTCTGGGAGCTCCGGACCAAAGGCGGCCTCTTTTGGGAGGCTGAGGGTCCCTGGGGCAGACCATGGCAGCGCTCAGGGTGTAGATCACACGACAGCTCAGGAAAAGCCACGGGGAGGCTGGCGTAAAGGGAAAAGACATGCTTCCATGACGGGAAGCGGCGAGGAGGAGCTGGAGATAGGGAAACCCAGGGGTGGGAGTGGAGTCCCATGGCACGTGAGGCCTTCCTCGGCCTTGGTTTTGAGGAAGAGACCCCTCCTGGCGACTCACCAGCGGGGACTTGTCATTCATGTAAACCATGGGGTCCTGTGGAGGAGAAACCAAAGCACAGGACTTAGGATGCAAGGATGGAAGACACCACAAATGCCTGGGGAGGATTTGCTCCTGTCGCCAGGAGAGGACACAGACAGACTCAGGGTGCCGAAGCCCCTCCCAGGGTTCAGCCCCGCTCACCAGGGATTTCTCCTCCTGCCGCAGCCACTGGTAATCTTCCACCATCTGCTTCTGCTGCTTGTCCAGGATCTGTCGCATCTTGACCTTTTCGGCCTCCCACAGCTGCTGGGCCTCTTCGCGGCTACTGGGTCGGACAAAGTCCTCCTCCTGAGAGGACGGGGTGAAGGGAGAGGACACGGTGAGCCCCACCCTAGGCCACAGAGGAGGGACAGTCCTCTTGAGGGTCCTGCGGGAGCCACGAGCCTTGGCGTAGCAGCTGCTGTTTTTGTTGTGAGTCTGTTCTTTGGCCCACACCTGTGCGTGCAGACGCGATCATCGGGTGTCACAGTGCCCGTGTGGCAATGTGGGGCCAAGCCCGAGAGCACACAGTTCAGCAGGCACTGTGTGCAGATGATGGCGTGGTCTGTCGGGGAAATGTTATCTTCGAGTGACTGCCCTCCTGTCATTGTCTCAGTCGGTGCTGGTGACGGTTGCCGTCATTTAATAGAATCGGAAAGGCAAAGCCAGCCTTCTGGAGACCCTTGTGTGCGTATGTCCGTCTTAGCACCAAGGCGGCAGGTCTGGAAGCTTCGAGAGGCAGGGGTGCTGCCTCTAGCCTGACCCTGTGCATGGCTGAACAGAGCCTGGGAGAAAGCCAGCAGCGCACACCACACCATCTATTATGCCTTCCTATTAAGACTGGTTTTTTGGGTTTGTTTTGTTTCTTATTTTTGGAGACAGGGTCTCACACTGTTGCCCAGGCTGGAACGCAGTGGTGGCAACATTATGGCTCACTGCAACCTTTGCCTCCTGGACTCAGGTGATCCTTCCATCTTAGCCTCCTGAGTAACTGGGACTACAGGCTTTTTTTTTTTGTAGAGACGAGGTCTAGCTGTATTGCCCAGACTGGTCTCGAACTCCTGCACTCAAGCAATCCTCCCATCTCGGCCTCCCAAATGCTGGGATTATGGATGTACTCTTTACTACGACAATATTTGAGTTATTAACCAAAGGTTAGAAGCAATGCATGAGCGAAGAGAGAAAATGAAGAACTACACTTAAGGAAATATAGCTCTGTAGATGTAAGATACATGTGATCACAGCTTTGATTATTTAACCAAAGGTCAGAAGAAATGCAGGAGCTAAGAGATGGAATAAAGAATGACACTGAAAGAAATATAGCTCTTTAGCTATGAGATGAATGCTTCCTCTCCCTAGCTTTGTCATGCAACCCTTATTTTAACTCGCCTGTGGGACTTTGGACCTAGTCACAGTTCTAGCTTCTAGTTCCTCAGTAGAAGGAGTTACATGCCTTCCTTCCCCTCCCTCAATCTTCCCCAGGGTTCGTCTGTATAACTACTTGCTCAGTCCCTCCAAGCTATTATGTTTTTCTTCTGCTGCACACGGTCACCCCGGCCTCCTGAACGGATAGAAGAAGAGTGTTACTGGCATTCTCTTGATAGCACAAAGCCAGGGGTTGCCCTTGCCAGGGGCAGGATCATTCTGTGACATTCAAGCTAAAGGGGCCCTCAGTTCCTTTCCTTTGAAGTGGCCAGTTTACATACAAGCCACTTGCAGAAAATTGTAAAAATGCTCTCCTTCCACTTTTAGCAAACAATAATTCCTACCAAGTCTCTTAAAAGAGTTTTCCCACTAAGCACGACAACACACACTTGAATGTGACAATATGGTTTTAAAATAGTTAGTTGTATTTGGGATGTTTCTCCTAGTGCTCACTGAGCATCAATGACGGACCTCAATTTCTAATAATACTTTTCTCAATTTCCAATAACAATTTCCCCCACAAGTTAGGTGTCTTGGCAAAATATTATTTGTGTATTAATCTATTCAACAACTATTTATTAAGCCATTGCAGTGTGGAAGGCATAGGACTGGGTACTGAGAGGATAGTGATTTTAAAGCATACTACGTTCCTGTTCTCATGGGGTGAAGTTAACAGGAGTTAGGACTGAGTTTCTCAACCTAAGCACTGTTGATGTTTGGGGCGGGATCATTCTTTATTTGGGGGAGATTTCCTGTCCACTGTAGGACGCTTAGCAGCGTCCCTGGTCTCCACCAGCTGGATGCTGGTAGTCCCTCCCCACTTGTCGCAAAAATGCCCCCAGACATTGTCAAATGTCCCCTCAGGGGGAGAAATCACGTTAGTTGAGAACCACTGAGCTAAACTTTACTTTAGGAAAACAAATTCCAGAATGTAAGGGTATTTTATAATCATGGACTTGTTAAACATAGGGTTTATTTATCAAAAGCAAAGGCTCCAACACAAGGAAGTTTGAAAACTATAACTATTCACAGTTAAATGTCAATGTCTGCAAACAGAATGGTGTGACTGCTACAGGCTGTTGACAACAGTGACCAACAGGAATTAAGAGTCAAAAGCTCTAAATACAGAGTTAGGAATCTGCAGGTGTGACAAGAATGTCTAGATTAAAGACAACTAGGATAAACACCGCTAGGGGGAGTGACTAGAGTCAAGAAATACTATGTAGGCTTATATGTGTTGAGAGAAGCTTCCATCACTAAAATGCCTAGCATGCCCCAGGCCTGATCATACCAGATCTCTTAACAAACACACACTGAAAGACTTATTCTGATGTCTTCCAAATTCTTTTTTTTTTTTGGAGTTGGAGTCTCACTCTGTTGCTCAGGCTGGAGTGCAGTGGCCGCTCCCGGCCACCTCAGCCTCGACCTGCTGGGCTCCGGCGATCCTTCCGCCTCAGCCTTCCAAGTAGCTGGAACTACAGGCGTGCGCTACCACGCCCTGCTAGTTTTTGTTTTATTATAGAGACGAGGTCTCACCAAGTTTCCCAGGCGGATCTCAACCCCTCGGGCTCAGGCAATCCACTTGCCTTGGCCTCCCAAAGTGCTGGGATTACAGGCTGAGCCACTGAGCCTGGCCTTTCCAAATTCTTAGTAAAACTCAAGGAGAAAGTGAGAACTTAACAACGATGGAATCTCTTTAGGTTGATTTTGCTGAATACACCTTGGGTATCATATCCTTATCAGGCAATGGATATTTACATTGCCAATTAATTACATTACACTTTTTTCTTTCCAGTTGGAGTCTCACTCTGCTGCCCATACTGGAGTGCAGTGGCACGCTCATGGCCACCCCAGTGTCCACCTGCTGGGCTCCAGCGATCCTTCCGCCTCAGCTTTCTAAGTAGCCAGAACTGCAGGTGCGCACTACCATGCCCGGCTCATTTTTTTTTTAACTTATTGCAGAGACGAGGTCTTGCCAAATGGTCCAGGCTGGTCTAGAACCTGTGGGCTTAGGCAATCCACTTGCCTGGGGTTCCCAAAGTGCTGGGATGACAGGCGGAGCCCCCGAGCTCGGCCATACACTACACTCTTAAGAGGAAGCAGGTATTGTGGTGTTCTAAGATGACACCCATAAGCTGTAACACCTTCCATGTTTCGGCGACAACCCATCCAGCTGGCCTTGCTTCCACCTCCACATGTCGCCTCCTCATCCTAGTCAAACAGCTCCTGCTCTTGCCCTGTGCCTGCTGTCACTCAATCTTGGTTCTGCCTCTCCCCTTCCCTGCCTCCCAGTTCCTTCCTGTCCAAATCTTCCTCATCCTTCAAGACCCAGCTGAAAAAAAGCAGCTGGAAGGAGTTCTTCTCTCTGAACTCCAACTCTGTGGCATCCATGACGTTCCATCTTAAATTACACGGAAGTGTGCACCTGACCTGTTCCTTCTGGTGGACCGTAAGCTCCTTGAAGGCTGGACCGCCTCGTCCCCTCTTCAGCACCAAGGACAGCACCCGGCAACCCGCACACACGGTATTGCCTACGGATGTTATTATTTTAAGAGACAGGGTTCCATTCTGCTGCCCAGGCTGAAGTGCAGTGGTACAGCCATGGATCACTGCAGCCTCGAATTTCTGGATTCAAGTAATCCTCTCGCCTCAGGCTCCCAAGTAGCTGGGTCTACAGGTGCATGCCACCATGCTCGACTAAATTTTCTTTTTCTTTCTCTTTCTTTCTTTCTTTCTTTCTTTCTTTCTTTCTTTCTTTCTTTCTTTCTTTCTTTCTTTCTTTCTCGACTAAATTTTCTTTTTCTTTCTTTCTCTTTCTTTCTTTCTTTCTTTCTTTCTTTCTTTCTTTCTTTCTTTCTTTCTTTCTTTCTTTCTTTCTTTCGAGACAGGGTCTTGCTATGTTAACCAGGCTTGTCTCAAACTGCTGGCCTCAGGTAATCCTCCAGCCTTGGCCTCCCAAGGGGCTGTGATTACAAGTGCGAGCCATCGTGCCTGGAAGATTTTATTATTTTAAATCATAATTGTTAAGCTTGCAAGAGGAAGGTAGCTGCTATCCCAACCCTGGTGTGGCATCCCACAGACTCCCAGATGAGTCAGGCTGTACAGCCAGTCAGTGGGAAAATTGTTTTTGCAGGAACACCATCTCTGAATTTTTATTAAATGCTTTGTAGGAAGCTTGTTGTATCGTTTCAGCACTCTACCTGGAAGAGACTTCCTCAATATTTCTGATCTCTGTCATACAATGGAATCTATATTTTTAACTTTTTTTGTTTGTTTAGTTAAAGACATGTTCATTATGTTCTTTTAGGCAGATTTTCCTTACAGCAATTACATCCAAACCCCTGACACAAAAGGCTTTTTCCCCACTGCACAGTCTGCCTTTATGGAATGGAACGAAGTCCTCACGGAGAAGCAGAGCTTAAACAAAGGCAATGTCACCCCTCAAATGAGAAAATAGCATCTTTCTGAAAGAACACATTGTCAAGCAAAACTCACTAAAACTTAATTAATTATGAATAAAAAGTCTGGAGCAGGAGGGTGAGGAACCGAGCACAGCCTAAATATAGAACATGCTTAAAAATGAAGTTTTATTATTGTTAAGTATATGCAATGCTAGAAATCAATATTAGAGAGAAAAATGAGGTAGGTCAGGGGAACACTTATTTCACAACAGATCTTGGTGCCTGGAATTCTAAGTTATCATGCTGGTTTCAAAACTCTACTAAATTAAGAGTAATGGCATAGAAATATATGAACATATTGCCTCCATTTTCTAAGTCGATTATAATAAACATGTATCCTTTTTCCAAAAAATTTTCAGTCATGTACACTGGGCCTGAAATATGATGCATGTGCACAGAGTTAGAGCTAAAATAATAAGGGTTACCGTCTGTAACTCAGTTTAGTAAAATATATTAAGTGTTCGTGGCAACTGATCACAGGAGTCATTTGCATGGAAGAAGCTGGTCGGTGGTCAGTGGGCATCTGGTTGCAAGCAAAAGTGTCTTTTTTATATCGGACCCGACACTCAGAAGCCAGCCCATGAGGTATCAGGTCTCACTGGATGACAGAGAGGTGATGGGGAGGTGGCTTGGCCTCCTGCTAGCCAGTTGATGAGCCTGTATCCACACTAGCCCCAAGCTCCTTCTCACCCAGCAGTAGTCTTTGCAAAAGCGGCAGAAGCTGCAGCTACAGGGGCCTTTTCCTTTTCCCCAGGAGAGATTTAGCACCCAAAGCCACCAGGCAGGAGGGCAGAGTGGGGTGGGACCTCTAGAAGCCTTAATTCTCCAGCACTACCAAGCTTGGCTGCACTCTGACGAGGAATCTCCACAAGGTTGAGGACTCCCTACTCCATGGGTTCAGGAAAAGGAAAGGCTTGTCCCTCACTCGTCTCAGCATCAGCATGGACGAGGGCCATGTCCAGGTCCAGCTGCCATCCTCAGGGGCAGAGCCCAGCACGGCCTCCACCCTCTGACACGTTTGCCAAGAGAAGGGAGTCAGCCAGGTGGCCTGACCGGCGCACGGAAGCACGGAGAAACCCTCCCGGGCCCGGGGACGTGGGGTTCCCGGCGTCCCAGGCCGCCTCCCTCCAGCAGCCTCCTCCATCCGGGCTGCGATCCAGCATGCAGAGCCATCTTACCCGCATGCTGTGTCGCTTGAAGACATTGTGCCGATGGAGAGGTGGGGTGTGCAGCGAGTTAACGGGAGACGGATACTCCATAGGGCTGGTGAGCGTGGGAGAGCTGGCACACAGGCCCTCGGGGACCTATTCAGGAGAAGCAAAGAAGCACAAGGCACAGGACGAGGCGAGGAGGTGGACAATTAGCTGCTACAAACACGAGCACAAAGAAACGATGCAAGAGCCCCGTGGGGGCGGGACTTGCTCTCTGGGGGCTAGGAAAGCGCACAGTGCGGCCCTTCCACTGGCCTGTCCGAAGACTTGGTGGAGCAGCGTGGGCTCCGTTCACCCCACAATGCTCTCCCACAGATGGTCCACGCAGGCACTGACCCACTGAGACCAGGGTTCCTCCCTTTTCTTTGAAAAAGACTTACATTTCAGCTGGGTTACAAATGGACAGACATGATTAGTTCATAGATTGACATAGACAGGAAACTTTTAAAAAATCGTTATTATTATTATTTTAAGTTGGGGCCTCACTCTGTTGCCCAGGCTGGAGCGCAGTGGCACAATCACGGCTCACTGCAGTCTTCACCTCTGTGCCTCGGGCAATCCTTCCACTGCAGACTCTCAAGCAGCTGGGATTAAAGGTGGGTGCTACCACACCTGGCTAATGTTTTGATTTTTTGTAGAGATGAGGTCTTGCTATGTTGCCCAGGCTGGTCTCAAAGGCCTGAGCTCTGGCAATCCTCCCACTTCAGCCTCTCAAAGTGCTGGGATTGCAGGCATGAGTCACTGCACCCAGCTTTATTTTTATTATTATTTTTTAGGGATGAGGTCTTGCAACATTGCTCAGGCTGGTCTTAAACTCCCAGGCTCAAGCAATCCTCCCACCTCAGTCTTCTACATAGCTGGGATTACAGGTGTGAGCCACCATATCCGGCCCCCTATTTTAAATACCACATAAGGGTATGTTTCTTTCTCAAGGATGTTGTTTCCACTTTCTGAATCATGGCTTTTGCTTCATATGAAGAGAATTTTATCTATTCATTCTTGGATGGGTTTGTTTTGGCACTGGGGAGTTTCCTTGAGAAAAAATACGTGACCATGGTACACGTATTTCTCTTTTAAATTTTTTTTTGTCGAGATAGGGTGTCGCTATGCTGCCCAGACTGGTCTCGAACTCCTGGGCTCAAGTGATCCTCCTGCCTGGGCCTCCCAAAGTGCTGGAATTATAGATGTGAGCTACCACACCCAGCCTAGGGGCTCCACTTTTGAGCAGCAACTCTGAGCTGGGGGATACAACTGAAGAAATGAGAGAAGGCTGGGTTCCTTCTCTCCTGGAGGCAAAAGAGGGCCACAGGACAAAGATGTTCTGATCAGGGACCCACAGCCTCGGAAGAGTCACGGGTGGTGACGGAGGAGGTGGAAGAAACTCAGAGGGAGCCCTAGGCTATTGCTTCTGGCCACCCAGGTTCCGGCCGGGGCCGCTGCGGGGATGGAGTGGCTCCATTTTCTGGAGAACATCCCCTGGGATTCCTTCTCAGAAGGCTCTGCTCAGGGTAGGAGGCCAGAGGGCCTTTGGACAAAAGGAGGCAGCTGCAGGCAGACACACCAAAAAGGGGACAACAGCAGACAGACGGGCTGAGCATGAGGCAGGTCACAGCTGAGGACAGCCTGGTAGAACTGCATCTTTATTCTTCTGATACGAGTTTAAATTCTGTCCTGGGTGCCCAGAAAGAGCCAACCCAGGCCATCTCCATCACCTGAGTGGGTGACTGCTGTCTCTCAAAAAGGCACAAGAAGGGAATTTCAGGAAGGACCTGGGTGAGAGGTAGACCTGGACTTCCCACCCTCTGGCTACAAATTTACCTGGAATTGCAGCTTGGGGGCCAGCAGGTTGGTTTGTGGAGGGGGTCTGTACTTGGGTCGGCTGGGCTGGAGAGAGAACACAGAGGTGTGTCAGTCCCTGATGTATTCTTTTTTTTTTCTGAGTCAGAGTCTCACTCTGTCACCCTGGCTGGAGTGCAGTGGCACGCTGCTCCCGGCCACCGCAGCCTCGACCGGCTGTGCTCAGGCGATCCTTCCACCTCCCCATTCTAAGTAGCTGGAACTATAGGCACATGCCACCATGCCTGGCTAATTTTTTATTAATCGTAGAGACGAGGTCTCGCCATGTTGCTCAGGCTGGTCTTGAAGCCCTGGACTCAGGCAATCCTCTTGCCTCTGCCTCCCAAAGTGCTCGGATGACAGGGGTGAGCCACTGTGCCCGGCTTCCTGTTCTGTTCTTGAGTGAACACAGCTCGCCAAGGGAAAAGTGAAGTCGGAGACAGACTGGACTTGTTCAGAAGGAAGAAAAGTGGAGGGAGAACATTATCATTGAAATCATTCTGCATGCACTTACTGAGCATCCACTACATGTGGAGCGATGAAAGGGAGAAAGAGGCCACCTCTGTCTTCCCGAGCTATGGCTAATTGGAAGGTTAAGGATCTGTGCGTGTAGCCTCCCTACCTGTGGGAGCACCTATCAAATCAGAGCTCCAGAGCCTCAGACATGCAGAGGTAGGAGTCCCCCTGGGGCTCGGGCACCCAGGGAAGCTTTACAGAGGAGGTGGACATTCAGCTGGGCCTGGGAGAAGGGGCAGGGCATGAGAAAAGGCATCATATGGACTGAATGTTTGTGTCTCTCCCTCTAATTCATATGTTGAAGCCCTCACCCACAATGCTGTGGGATTAGGAAGTGGGGTGGGGTCTTTGGGAGGCAATTTGGGTTAGAGGAGGACATGAGGGTGGAGCCCTATGACAGGATTCGTACCCTTATAGGAAGAAGAAGACAGACTATTTCTGCCAGGTGAGACCAGTGAGAAGGCCGTCTGTAAGCCAGGAAGAGAGCCCTCACCAGACACCTTGATTTTGGACTTTCCAGCTCCAGAACCGTGAGAGGTAAATGCTTATAGTTTAAGTCACCCAGCCTGTGCAGCAGACATCGCCAGCTAAGACAGGCATGGGCTCTCAAAACCCACCCACCTCATGGCAGTGGGCACTGGCTCTTAAGCCTGGGGCAGCCATGGAGGGCATAGACATGGAGACTGGACCTGAGGGGGACAGGTTACTGCCCATTCGTGTGTCTTCAGGGTCGTCTCATCTGTCCCTAGAAAATGCGTAGAAGTGCTCAGCCTGTCCCCAGGGGACACTTTTGAGCGCTGATTCTTGATGCAACAGTCCCACAGGTACCTGCTGTCTCACGGTCCCTCTGGGCCAGGGCACGGATGTGAGAGGGTGAGTTCAGTGCTGATGGATGCTGACTGAGGGGGGCATGGCAGTGAGGGGGGCACAGGTCAGACAGGGACCCGGCTCTGTTGCAGGTCATGGGACCGACAAGGCCAAGACTTGGCTCACCTTGGGTGGAGGTTCCTGGAAGGCTGTGGGCTCCAAGATTTTGGGGGTTCGGTAGCGAACGTTCCTCTCTTGCTCCATAGCAATGTCCTTTTCCATCTGATAGATGTCACTGCAGGGAGTCAGGTCAGACAGGGAGAGAGAAACAAGGTCAAGGAAGCCCAGGGAGGCCCAGACAAGGGTGCCAGATCCTACTTCCATGTCCCCTGCAGTCTGGGATGTGGGCTGTGAGGTCAAACTAAGGTTGGGAAGATCACAGGGATAATTCCAAGGTGGGAAAATGTCCTTGGTGTGCCAGTCCCAGTCCAGCCAGGCAGCAGAAGCTCACCCGCAGCCCTGTCTCCCGTGCCCCATTTTCTCCTGGGCGCCAATCCCCTATGTAGATTTCCAACATCCAGGCCAGCATCTGGACCCTGCCATCTCTCATTTCTTATGAAACATTGTACCAACGCATCCCTGGTATGTGCTGATGGGTATAAATTCATGCCAGGTCAGTCATGTGCATGCTTCTCGCCTTTCACACTCAACCCAAATCTTCCAACCTGCGAACACAGAGCCCAGGGGACCCTGGGTTTACTGCAGGGGGTCCATGAATTCTCATGGGTGCCAAGTATTATGTACTATTGAATATGGAAGGAATACTTGGCACTCTGTTTTCAAATGTATGTGCATTTGATCAAGTACAACAAGAATGTCATCATCCGGCTTACTGTATCCATTACAATATTCTAAAATGACAACTATTGCTACCTAGAGAAATTCTCAAAATTTGACATCTAAAGGACCCTTTGGGAAACACTGATCAAGCCCCTTCATAACTCTAAGGAGGGACTGTCAGGCAGTGGTCTGAGGAGGCATCCCAGGGCCTTCTGGGTCTTTGAGTGTTTCATATCACATCAAAAACCTCCTCCTAACTTTACCCCTGGTGGGGACAGTGGTGTGGGGGGATACCACTCAGCTTCCCATGGTTCTCAAGGCCTCAGAATGGATTAAGAGCAAGTCTCTCCTCCCTGCCTCCCCAGAGCGTCTACCCTCTCAAATTACACCTTTCAATACTTTTCTCCTTGAGCCCTTTGTCCTCTCAGATCTCCTTACAAGGGATCAACAGAGAAGTCTTGAATTAGCTGGCAGTCTCAATAAAGGGACACACAGGAACAGAGGTCTTTTTTTTGAGTCAGAGTTTCACTCTGTCACTCAGGCTAGAGTGCAAAGGCACAATCATGGCTACCACAGCCTCGACTTGCTGGGCTCAGGCGATCCTTCTTCTTCAGCCTTCCAAGTAGCTGAACTATAGGTGTGTGCCACCATTCCCAGCTAATTTTTAAAAATTTATTGTAGAAAAGAGATTTTGCCAAATTACCCAGGCTGGACTTGAACCCTTGGGCTCAGGCAATCCTCTCGCCTCTGCCTCCTAAAATGCTGAGATTTACAGGAGTGAGCACCTGGCTCAGAGAGACCTTTCAAGCTGGAGGTTTTACAGGCTGTGGATTCTACCTGCTCTACAAAAATATGAGGGTCCTCTCCACTGCTCCTGGCCTGGTATTGCCAGCATCTTCCTGGGGTGCCTCTCCACTAGGAAATTTTCAGGGGCTATTTTCTCACCCCCAAGTAAAAGCCAATATGTTGACTACATTATTTAAACTCACAGTGTTTTGGCCAGGCACAGTAGCTCACACCTATAATCCCAGCATTTTGGGAGGTCGAGGTGAGAAGATTGCCTGAGCCCACAGATTTGAGACCAGCCTGGGCAACTTGGCGAGACCTCGTCTCCACAACAAATTAAAAAATTAGCTGGGCCTGGTGTCACGTGCCTGTGGTTCCGGCTACTTGGAAAGCTGAGGCGGAAGGACTGCCTGAACCCAGCAGGTCAAGGCGGCAGTGGCTGTGAGCGTGTCACTGCACTCCAGCCTGGGCGACAGAGTGAGATTCCAACTAAAAAATAAAAATAAGAAAACTCACAGTGTTTCAAGTTAATTGTGCACCAGATTCCTTAGAGCAAACGACAGCCCACAAGCCAAATTTGGTCCCTCACCTATCTTTGTGTGGTCCCAAACTAAGGATTGGTTTTTACACTTTTTAATGATTGAAACAAAATTAAAAGAAGAAAAATATTTTGTGATAGATGACGTTACATGGGAACCCAGCCACACGCATTAGTTGACGTTTGTCTCCAGCTGTTTTTGAGCTACAATGGCAGAGACGAGCAGTCTCCACAGAGAGACAGTGTTTGCTGACTTCCACCCCAAAGAAGCCAGACCATCTCCTGCAAAGCTGATGGCAGGCATACTACCAAGGAAACTAGAGGACCCCCCAGCCTCTGCATGGACACCACCCTTCCCAGGGACCTCCCAGTGCTTGGGGAATGATGGCTCCTGGAAACTTAGAAGGATTGGACTCTCTGGCCCCTTATCCCCATCCAGAAGGGAGTCAAAGTCTTTTTTTTTTTTTTTTTTTGGAGGGGAGGGGAAGATAGGGTCTTGCTCTGTTGCCTAGGCTGGAGTGCAGTGGTGTGATAGTAACTCACTGCAGACTTGAACTCCCGGACTCAAGCCATCCTCTTGGCTCAGCCTCCTGAATAGCTGGGACTACAGGTACGCACCACCACATCTGACTAATATTTTTGTTTTTTATTTCTTTTAGAGACTACTTGCCGTGTTGCTGTTGCCTAGGCTGGTCTCAAACTCTTGGCTTCAAATGATAACCACAAAGTGCTGGGATTACAGGCATAAGTCACCAGCACAGTCTTTTTTCTGGGAAGAATTTTCTTTATGATTATCATCTTCATTATTATTATTTACAGTAAGAGTCTTGCTCTGTAACCCAGGCTGGAGTGCAGTGGCATGATCATAGCTCATGGCAGCTTTGAATTCTCGGGCTTCAGCAATCCTCCTGCCTCAGTCTGCCGAAATGCTGGGCCTACAGGTGTGAGCCACTCGACACAGCTCTTTTATGGGGGAAGACATTTTGTTTATTGTTATTATTATCAATGATCATCATCAGTTATAGTTGGGGTCTCACTCTGTTTCCCAAGCTGGAGGGCAATGGCGTGGTCATAGCTCGCTGCAGCTTTGAACTCCCGGGTTCAAGCAATCCTCCCGCCTCAGCCTCCCAAAATGCTGGGTTTGCAGGTGTGAGACGCTGTGCCCAGCCAGTCTTGAGAACAGGTTAAAAATGACCCCCTTCCTTGCTCTGTGGGAGGAAAGATCAAAGTCGAGAGGAGAGGCAAGGCAGTGCTCCCGGGACAGTGGCTTGCAGGCCCCCGCTCTGCAAAGAACACAGGCACTTCCATGAGTCTGGTTCAGTCCTTTGACCCCACCCGAGAAAATGCTTTCTGAGCATGTCCCGGGAGCAGGGCACTGTGCTCGGTGCTGAGAGATGCCCTGACGAGCCAGGCTTCCCTAGGGTCACCTTGTCTCTGAGCTCATGTCTGACAGTGAACTTCGGTCCTCCGACAGAGCCACGGAGTGCCTCCGTGTCCACTGAGCTTCTGCTGGCCCGATCGGCTCATTCCGCTGGGATGCCCGTGTGGCCCAGTGCTGGCCAGAAGGGAGGCCGGGGTGTCAGTCTCAGCCTGTGGGTCCCTGCCTTGGGCAAGATACCAACTTTGAGCCTGAGCTCTCTCCTCTGTAAGGTGGGACAGGGAGCCTTGCCGCACAGAGCTGTGGAGACCCTGGCCCCGTCTCGTCTGGGGAGGTACGTCGTGAACCCGTCGGGAACCTGTAAGCGCTGCTGGACTTCAGCCTTGCGGCCGGGTGGACCCTCTACCTGCAGAGCCTGGTCTGTGCTCACCTGAGGCTGCACGCGAGCTCTGTGAAGCGGGGCCGTTCGCTAGGGTCATAGTCCCAGCAGCGGGTCATGAGGGTGTAAAGGATCGGCGGACAGAGGTCAGGCTTGGGCAGCCGGTCCCCCTTCTCGAGGACCCCAATGACGTCCTTGTTCTCCAGCCAGAAGAAGGGCTGCTTCCCAAAGCTCAGAATCTCCCACATGCACACAGCTGGGGACAAAGGGCGTGCTCAGGGCCCGTGCCAGGGATGCCGGTCCCCCACCCCCCAGAAGCACCGTGGCCATCAGCCAGCGCTCGGGCCCGGTCGGGAGGTTCCCCTGCTCTCTGCCTCCCCTCCAGCACCCTGGGGTCCTGCCCGCCATGGTGGTCCGCCCGAGGGACCGAGGCCTGCATCTGTAGCAGATGCCCTACGGCCTCCACAGAGCTATGGTTCTGCGGGATGAGGAGGTGACAGTCTGAGCATGTCGTCAGGACCTCCTGGGCCTTCTTTTAGGAGGGAGTGGAGCCCTGTCAGAAAGCCGGAGTTCAAAGCCTAATGCCAACACGTGCTACCTATGTGATCATGGACAAGTCCTTACTTGTCTGAGCCTCCGGTTTCTTATCTGGAAAATGGGAGTAATAACAATGAAGTTTTACCGGGTTGACTAACCAAGAGGCCAGGTCTACAGGACAGTGGGCTGTCCGTCCACCTTGTTCTCTCTACCCCCTGCACCTTCTTCTCAGAACAAGCCTCCGAGCTTTGCCTCAGGAGGTCCCCTCCAGGGTGGCCCCATGTTAGTTAGTCCCTGGGGCTGGTTGGTAGAGACCAAGCTCATCACAGGACACTTTTCCGGGAGGATGGATCCACCTGGCCCAGGCCAGCCCTCAGTCCATGTCACACCCAAGCCCCACCTCTAAGACTTCCCAGGGGCCACAGTAAAACCGGACCCTGGGAACAGGCCCCTGCACCCTGCACCCCCCACTTAGCTGAGTCAGGGAGGCAAACCCTCTCCACGCCCTCCCACATTGTCACTCACCAAACATCCAGACGTCGCTGGCCGTCGTGAAGCGGCGGAAGTTGATGGACTCCGGGGACATCCACTTGATGGGGAGACGAGTCACAGAGGCTGTGTGAGCAAAGAATTATTGAGGGGATTATCCAGAAAGCCTACCTTCTGGAGACCCTGGGCCGCCCAAGCGTAGGCTTCCCTCTTTCTGGGATTTTGGCTCCAAGGGCCAAGGAGAAACAGGAAAGTCCCCTCACCTTTGTAATAGTCCTCATCCTCGATGTACCGGGAAAGGCCAAAGTCGCCCAGCTTCACACACTCGGGGGAGGCCACCAGGATATTTCGGACAGCGATGTCCCTGGAAGAAAGAGGTCAAGACCAAGGTGAGAAGCCACCTTCCATCGGAGCACTTCAGAGAGACAGACAGGCAGATGGACAGAGAGAAAAAGCACAGCGCCGGCCGGGGACCCGGGCTCTGGAGCAGAATCGGGAGCTCCTGTGGGTTGCCACCCCCACCAGGGGTCTCGCTAGAGCTTGGCTCAGCTGGGAACGCGGCGGCCCCTGCACACTCGGCACCCACAGGCTCCCCCATCTCCCACCCGCGGCATCGTCTTTGTCTCCCGTCACCACCTCCCACGCGTCTCCACCCAAAGCCTATCTTGGGTTCCCAGGATCTGCTCCCTACACTCCCTTCTGTGCTCTGCCTCTACTGACCCCCGGGGGAGGACTGTCACCCTGCCCACTCTTCAGGGGTGGGCCTCACAACGTCTTTGCGTTTCCGTGGGACGGCGCCCAGCCAAGCTGGTTGGGGCAGTCGGGACACCGGGTCACACGAGTGTGTCCCATGCCCGGGTCATGACATAGAGCCTCTCAGAGCACCTCCAGTGCAGGTGAGGAGACTGGGCACAGACAGCTGAAGAGACTTGTCCAGCAGGTCACCATCAGGACAAGGGTGCAGCCCCATAGGCTACCCTAGAGCTGAGCTCTCGCCCCTTCCGGAAGAAGCACCACTGACTTGGTTTACCCCGTGTTCTTGGCATTGCTTCTAGCCCCAAGCTCGTCTGCCCCAAACACTTGCTTCCCTAGTGTTTGTTATTCTTATTGAAAAGATGACCTCATGCCGGGCTCAGTGGCTCAGCCTGTAATCCCAGTGCTTTGGGAGGCTGAGGTGAGTGGACTGCCTGAGCCCGTGGGTTCGAGACCAGTCTGGGCAACTTGGCGAGACCTCATCTCTACAATAAATAAAAAAAAACTAGCCAGGTGTGGTAGCGCGCGCCTGTAGTTCCAGCTGCTTGGAAGGCTGAGGTGGAAGGATCGCCGGAGGCCAGCAGGTCGAGGCCGCGGTGGCCAGGAGCAGCCACTGCACTCTAGTCTGGGTGACAGAGCGAGACTCCAACTCAAAAAAAGAAAAGATGACCTGGCCAGGCTTGGTGGCTCAGCCTGTAATCCCAGCACTTTGGGAGGCCGAGGTGAGTGGATTGCCTGAGCCCATGGGTTCGAGACCAGCCCGGGCAACTTGGTGAGACCTCGTCTCTACAATAAATAAAAAAATTAGCCGGGCATGGTAGTACACGCCTGTGGTTCCAGCTACTTGGAAGGCTGAGGTGGAAGGATCACTGGAGCCCAGCAGGTCGAGGCTGCAGTGGCCTGGAGCATGCCACTGCGCTCCACTGGGCGACAGAGTGAGACTCCAACTCCAAAAAGAAAGCAAAAAGAAAAGAAAAGATGACCTAAAAGCATGGTCACTTCAAATAAGCAAACAAAGGAAACAGATCGATCACCCTACCACCATAGCCTCTGACAAGTGACATCTCACGTTTGGGCCTCTTACTAGAACGTGAGCCTCACAAGGAAAAGGAATTTTATCTGTTTTCATGACTCTGTTCCAGAGTCTAGGACAGTGCCTGGCATTGAGTCGGAGTCCCATGCAGTTTGCTGAATGAGTGAATGAATGAACGCAGGTTTATATCCCGTGATGTGTGTGGTTGTGCATAGAGCCGATATCAGTGGCAGGGGGGGAGCGCCCCGCCACTGTAGTCCCCGGGAGGTCATGAGACAGGAGCAAGGCCAGGTGGAGGAGGGGGCCGCTCCACAGCCAGAGGGAGGACCAGACTTGGGAGGCCAGGGGTGCCGGTAACCTGGGCGGTGTCTGGGCCGTGACCCCAGACACCTCAGACCTCAGAGTAACTCTCAGCGAGCCTGGAGGAGCCCACGGCGCTTTTCACTTTGCAGACGGCAAAGCGAGTTCAGAGAGGCAGGACCAGTGCTGAGACCCAACACACCCTGTGCCACTCCCAAGCCCGGCTCCACCCCCGACGCCTCCAGGGTCAGGGGAAGGGCCCGGCTGTCCCCTCTCCCCCACCTGTGCACGCAGTTGATGCTCTCCAGGTAGGCCATGGCTTTGCATATCTGCAGCGAGTACAGGACGAGGGTGAGCACCTTCAGGGAGAGCTTGTTGCGCTCCAGGTAGTGGCCCAGCTGCAGGAAGGGGGAGGTACCGTTAAGACCCCTGGTGCGCTCGGCAGGGAGCCAGGGGCCAGGACCCTGGAAGCCCTCCCCCAACCCTTCCCTGGGGGAGGAGGAGGGCAAACCCCAGGCTGGCAGGAGGCTCCAGCAATTTCCTCTACACACAGGGCATCTCCGTGTTTCAGCGGAACACAGACGGAGGGGACCGGGAAGGACTCTTGCTCTGAACGACCCCCACGGTGGCCCAGTCGTCACTGTGGGGTCCCTCCTCTGCCACCTCCAGCTCACCTCCCCGTAGGGGTACAATTCCATGATGATCCAGGTGGGCTCCTCTTCGATGATGCCGATCAGCTTCACAATGTGGGGGTGGTCGAGGTTCTTCATGATCACTGTGCAGGAGGCAAGGGGGACAGGCCGGGGCGGCTCGGAGGTCCAGTCCAAGAAACAGGCTGTGCTGTCCCGGCCGGGAGAAGCGGAGAGCGGAGCCCTCCTCCCACCTGGGTCCTGGTACCGCTCGCACCCCCTTCCCAGAGCCAGACCCCGTCCTGCCCTAGAGGCCTGGGGGGCCTCAGGGGTCCCTCCCAGGGATGCCTACCTGCCTCGCTCATGAATTTCTCCTTGTTGTCCAGAGTGCAGTCTTTCTTGCAGGTCTTGACGGCCACATTGATTTGCTCCCCTTTCTGCAACAAGAGTGCATTCAGGGCCCCTCGGTCCCCGCCTGGCCGCACTGGGACCTTCCCACAGACCTCGCTGCCCGCAGAGGGAAGCAGGTGACATCTGGCCCTCTCCGTGGCCCACCAGCCTTTTCTCCTATTCCTCCCTCCCTCTCTTTCTTTTTTGTTTTGAGTTGGAGTCTCACTCTATCGCCCAGATTGGAGTGCAGTGGCTGCTCCCGGCCACCGCAGCCTCGACCTGCTGGGCTCCGGCGATCCTTCCGCCTCAGCCTTCCGAGTAGCCAGATT